TGGAGATCTTTTTTGTGATCCCCGCAATGTAGGGTAAAGTGATGGTTTTGAAAGGCTCCTCAAGAGGGTCCTTTTTCATGGTTGGAGTGATGACTTTGCGGATTGTGTAGTCGGAGTAACCATTAGCTTTAAGAGCTTGGTCATGCTTGAGTTCACTGGCTGTGTGTTCCTGGTCAGATATGCATTGGGCTCTATGGTGCAGAGTCTTGATGAGGGAATTCTTCTGGGATGGATGGTGGTGGGAATCCGGTTTCAGGTAAGCATCCGTATGGGTAGCTTTCCTATGGACAGAGTGGCTCATTGAACCATCAGGTCTCTTTTTTTATTAGGACATCCAAAAAGGTAGCTTGCCATCTTTTTCGACTTCCATGGTAAATCTGATGGCTGGGTGTATGGAATTGATATAGTCGAGGAATACCCAAGAATATGAACACATACATTGTTTTGACATTCAAATTATTTTTTTGCTTGTTGGAAATGTACGTAAAAAAGAATCGAATGATTAATATTTAAAATCGGTCAAATGAAATAGTTCAGTATATATGTATGCACTGTATGCTCTACTTCTTTCACACCGTACGTAGTCAACCGTGCTAATCGGAGTTGCTCATGACAGATATCAAAATAATAGTCATTTAAAAATCTGAAAATACAAAGGATAAAATAAAATTCAAAATTAGGACGAAAAATTCGAGCATTCAGTATCCCCCATAACACCTCATATAAACACGTGATGTGTTGTGGCCGAAACGTCGTGAGAATATTATTGCGTTATTTTATTTTATCAATTTATTATTTTATTCTCATTCTACGTGACTTTACCGAAAGAACCAAAGCAGATGAATCCTTGCAGTCACGAAAGCTTTAAATCGAAATTTAAACACGTGATTGTTCAATAAAGTTAATTATTTTTTTGAGAAAAGATTACATCAAACTCGTATGTTCCGGTGCAACATCACATCCTTCAGATATTTGAAGCGTACTTATTGTGAGCAGAGCACAGGATGACTGCAACAAATTGCAAACAACAGAGAAAAAATCAATGGTAACTTTTCGAGAACCGAATAGCCGTATGTTGTACTTAACAAGTTGTAACAAATCACTAACATTGCTGCTTACCACAACTTTCACGGGAACAAGGTCAGAGTCAAAAGTTGATCACAACCGATTGCTGTTGATGCCACGCTGCTTTGCCAAAGCTTACTGACCTTCAACAAGAACCTACAGCATGGTTGACATAATAAAAATCTTTGGGTTACATCGCGTAACTATAAATGTGTCGAAACTCTCCACCACCCGACACGGCCAATCAAGTACGGGATTTGTCACGTTAACAAAACGACAAATATAATTAGACCTCCTTTGCCAGTACCACAATGTAATAATAGGGGTTTTTCCCCTTTTTTCTGGCAACAAAACTGAAACCTTTTTACAAGGATTCATGTCTGCATTAACCACAATACCTGCAGTCAAAATGCAAACAAAAAACATACTATGATAAAATATGCATTGTCCTTGAAACTGATTGGTCCACCTTTTTACAAACACAAGCCGTCCCTTGGTGTGGACCAATCAGTTTCAAGGACAATGCATATATTATCATAGTATGTTTTTTTGTATGCATTTTGACTGCAGGTATTGTGGTTAATGCAGACATGAATCCTTGTAAAAAGGTTTCAGTTTTGTTGCCAGAAAAAAGGGGAAAAACCCTATTATTAAAACGACAAATAGTTTACTACTTCAGCCCACTGGCATGTTGAAGAGTGAATCCACAATATTTACAATTTGAGTACGACGTTTCGCTGGCAATTACGTCCAGCATCATCAGGCGATGTAAGTGACAAATCCCTTACTGATCGGCCGTGTCGGGTGGTGGAGGTGTTTCGACACATATTTACGCGATCTTACCCAAAAACATGTATTATTAATAATATTGGTCACGAATGCCTACGTGTTAAACTAAGCAAGGTTGACCTCCGTCTTCGTAGGCCTAATATTACAAGATCGTATTATCTCCACCATCTGACTTTAGGTATTCTCCTTATTTACCAACCTCTGATTGCAACTTCAATGCCCGTCTCGGTCACCTGCCATCCTCCACCCTAAACGCGCGCCCCATCCACCACAAACCTCCTTCTCCAAACCCTGCACACTCGTCACCACCTGTCATCGCAACTTTTTATTCGTGAACAATTTCCCCTTCGCGACGGAAGTAATCATTTTGCATCGTTTTCCATTAATAAATATTTGACCTGTCACACTCACGTTAAATGACACGGGCATATTTGTTTTACTTTTTGGCTTAACGCAACTCAATTCTCTACTGCAACTCAATTCTCTACTGCAATTCAATTCTCTACTGCGTAGATTGTTTTGTATCTGCCGTGCAGCTCTCTGATGTGTTTTTTGGCTGCACTTGCGTGTTTGCTCGGCACAATGTCTGACGTTCCGCTTCAAGGTCCTGCAGAAGCACGTGGAAGCTGACATCGTGAAAAAAAAAACAATTCGGAGTACAACCCGATAACACATCTGCGAGTAAAGCTAAATTTCCTTTAAACACTGCAGCCCTTTTTTTCTGCATTATAATGCACGCGGTTTGCAAATTATATACATGGCATTGCACAGTTTGATTAAGAAGCTGCTGTTTATGTTACAAAGATGTGTCATATCCAGTACTACTGGTGATAAATAAAAGGGTATTGTTGTTTAACCGGGTGGAAGCAGCGTAGGTCTGATATGCAAAGGTGATCTTGGTCACCAAAAATTACAAAAGCAAACTGATATATGTACAGCGATTATGCTCAGAGAATTCAGAGAAAAAGCAACTGTGGCCACGTGGGAAATCGTGTAATATTGTTGATCATCACGTGTGATATTGTTGATCATCACGTGTGATATTGTTGATCATCACGTGTGATATTGTTGATCATTACGTGTGATATTGTTGATCATCACGTGTAATATTGTTGATCATCACGTGTAATATTGTTGATCATCACGTGTAATATTGTTCATTATCACGTGTGATATTGCTGATCATCACGTGTGATATTGTTGATCATCACGTGTAATATTGTTGATCATCACGTGTAATATTGTTGATCATCACGTGTAATATTGTTGATCATCACGTGTGATATTGTTGATCAGCACATGTGATATTGTTGATCAGCACATGTGATATTGTTGATCATCACGTGTAATATTGTTGATCATCACGTGTAATATTGTTGATCATCACGTGTGATATTGGTGATCATCACGTGTGATATTGTTGATCATCGCGTGTGATATTGTTGATCATCACGTGTAATATTGTTGATCATCACGTGTAATATCATTGATCATCACGTGTAATATTGTTGATCATCACGTGTGATGTTGTTGATCATCACGTGTAATATCATTGATCATCACGCGTGATATTGCTGATCATCACGTGTGATATTGTTGATCATCACGTGTAATATTGTTGATCATCACGTGTAATTTTGTTGATCATCACGTGTGATATTGTTGATCATCACGTGTGATATTGTTGATCATCACGTGTAATATTGTTGATCATCACGTGTAATTTTGTTGATCATCACGTGTGATATTGTTGATCATCACGTGTGATATTGTTGATCATCACGTGTAATATTGTTGATCATCACGTGTGATATTGTTGATCATCAAGTGTGATATTGGTGATCATCACGTGTGATATTGTTGATCATCACGTGTAATATTGTTGATCATCACGTGTGATATAGTTGATCATCACGTGTAATATTGTTGATCATCACGTGTAATATTGTTGATCATTACCTGTAATATTATTGGACGACAATATTGTTGATCATCACGTGTGATATTTTTGATCATCACGTGTGATATTGTTGATCATCACGTGTAATATTGTTGATCATCACGTGTGATATTGCTGATCATCACGTGTGATATTGTTGATCATCACGTGTAATAGTGTTGATCATCACGTGTGATATTGTTGATCATTACGTGTAATATTGTTGATCATCACGAGTGATATTGTTGATCATTACGTGTAATATTGTTGATCATCACGAGTGATATTGTTGATCATCACGTGTGATATTGTTGATCATCACGTGTGATATTGTTGATCATCACGAGTGATATTGCTGATCATCACGTGTGATATTGTTGATCATCACGTGTGATATTGCTGATCATGACGTGTGATATTGGTGATCATCACGTGTAATATTGTTGATAATCACGTGTGATATTGTTGATCATCACGTGTGATATTGTTGATCATCACGTGTGATATTGGTAATCATCACGTGTGATATTGTTGATCATCACGTGTGATATTGTTGATCATCACGTATAATATTCTTCATCATCACGTGTAACATTGTTGATAATCACGTGTAATTTTGTTGGACGACAATTTCATTGTGCGTGATTAGAAGCAATAACCTAGCTGGGGTTGTGTTACAGCACAGCACGGACTCCTCGAGAGTTGGGAGGTTGCAAGCTCAAAACTCCATCAGCGGACGACTCAGGCCATCCAGGGTCATACAATAAAGCACACACACACACACTTTGTGGATAGTCAACAGCGGTCATGGCATGGAACGGCTGGTCCCTGCCATGGGAATGTGGAAATTCTACCGCTGCATCATGGCTGCTAGACGAGATGAGTGCTTTCCCATTGCTCCTTTGTGCGTCGAGACATTGATTTATGACATTAAAAGACAGTCTTGGCAGACTTTATCACTGCCATGGTTAATCATTGCCTTATAAGTGAGAATAATTAAAGAAGCGAGCGTTTTAGACGACCGTGCTTAACGAGGGCAGTGAATAAGTAAGGGAAGCCATGAGATTGATGTGCGATAAAATAATAGTTTGCACTGTAGTGCCACAAAGATTATGAAGATTACAATAAAGTACAACTGTGATTTGTATCGCACTTAAATGTTACTGCTTATCAAGAAGCCGTACAGAAATTTTAGGTAAACGCAACATAGTATTCGAAAAGGTTTGCATTTATGTACACTAAACAATACATTTTAAGTAAAACAATAACAAAACATACATTTTTACGAATCTAAACAAGACAAAATGATAATCATACAAATTATACTAAAATAATGGATGCTACCGTGGAAGTAATCGTTATGACGCTGGACTTGCAATCCACAGGGTCGCCGGTTTTAACTTCTTGCGCGGCACTTGAAACGATGGCGCAAGTTTCTTAGATTCCCCGCCACCAGTTTGAGAATGAAACAGACAACTCGCTTCAAGGACATATCCACGTCCCTCTTTGCGTGGCATGCCGACACACCCGGGTCAAGTGACGTAACCATCTTCAAAACAATTAAATGCGCAGCGGCCGAACTTCAACATGAAGCTTTCCAGTTTCGAAAGTGCTACGTATGCTCACGTGAAACAAAAAAAAAACAACGACAACAAAAGAGAGAAGTCTCGAAACAAGTCGAGAAATAATCATAAAACATTCTAACGACAAAAGGATCGAGAGAAAAGTTGAGAAAACTCCACATTGAGGAGACAATCGTGCCTTCCACACGTTCCGAACGTTTCAGCATCCCTTTGAAGGAAAAGGTTTTATTCGATTGACAATGAAGCGTTGCGTGAGCGTTTTGAGCGCGTGGGACAACGTTATTTTTTTTATTTGTTTTCTGTGTGGGTGGGGAATTTCAAAGTCTTGGGACGTTTCCGATGGACCCAAGTGCATGACGCGTCAATGGGGAGCAATGTATCGAAGTGACTCTTCATCAGGGTCACCCGTTGTCACGTCAGGCGTTCGGTATTTGTCCATGGTTACAACTCGTGGTGAGCATTCCCTCCACCTTATTAAGTCAAGATAAAAGGACCTCCTTTCCTCTTACCATGACTACCCCCCGCCCGGGCACCCCTATGTACGTTTATCCTCCAGGGTTGCGCTGGGTGTTGAGCAGCATTTCTTTCTCTTCAGCTTTCGCCACGCACTCCTGCGGGCATCTTCAGGAGGAGAATTAACTCGTGACGATGCCTGTATAGCCTACTTCTTGAAAAAAATAAACGCTCTCTCTCTATGTTTTATCATAGCTTTGGCCCGTCCACACGCGTTCAAACCATCACGGAGCACATTACAAGTCCACGTCAACATAAGATTTCGGTGGCCAGGACGGTTTTGCGTGGTGCATCATCCAACTGCTCAAGTTACTCCCCGACTGTTACTCTTTGATTTGGTTACGTGAGTTATTTCGAATCGAATGAACTCACTTTGCTCACCGTCGTCCGCGCTCTGGGCAGATTTGTTACATCAAGGAGTTCGTGAGAGTTCGTCACGAGTTGAGGGGTGGCCATCGTCCAGCAGTGGAATGACCAAGGCCGATGATGATGTCCCGTTGATTTTTATCTGGATGGCCTGTACTGCGTCATGAGATGCTTATGTATTTAGATACAATGTAAATAATGATTGATATATTATCATTTATATATATATATATAAATATTCATATATATTCTCCATGACCAATGACACAATGAAATATTACATTTGTCATAAGTGCTGTACATTGACAGAGAAACGGTGGGAGAGGGGTGCTGAGAAGAACAGACTGCATTACTTCTGCCTACTTGGCTTCCCATTTGCCCTTTTCGTATTAACGCCCTTCACCAACAAATTGGGAATAATGTGCAAATGTGGCCTTTTGTGCTCAAATACCCGAGAGGGATTTCTGCGGGCACCCCATATCCATGTAATGGTACAGTCTATGTGTGTATGTATATATATATAGACTGATAGCTCAGGGCTACACCAAAAGTAAATCCTCCTATTTTTCTAAAATCAATAACGTTTTATTGAACGGATACAAAATGTTATTCATGGGAATGCCAAGAACATTTGGCGGATATTTTTTTTTTTACATTGCCTCATGTTTTCCAATGCACCGGTGCCAACGTGGAACCACGGGCCGAGAATTCCAACACAGGAAAATTATTAATCGGTGTCGTAAAAAGAACCGTCCGAGAACAGTGCCCTTTGCCGGCGGTGCCATTTTCACGACGTTGCTCGCATAGACCGTCCTTCTTGGGGCTGAGCAGTGAAAATATGAACGCGCCAGATCTATTCTGCACGGCAGGTGTGGCAGAACATTCGGTGCAATGACCTCTGATGTTTCTCGGGCTCGCCTATATTGTCTGGCATTGTCAGATGCAAATGTCAGCGTGCCAACTTACGCATGCATCGAGTGAACTAAGCAGCACAGTAAACCTGACCTCATAGTCCAGGTACCCAGACCGGACATTTCACCGGTCGGTACTATCTGAGGGTGGCGCAACTTTTGCAGTTCCAATTTCTTGACGTGGCCAGCAACACTGATTTTTATTCGATAAACGTTGCAAATGATCAAAGCATTCGCCAAATGAATGAATACATCGACACCCGTAAAGTTCTGACACCTCGGGTTGCACCGTGTTCTGCTTTGGCATGTGGACTGTGAGCAATGACCTCCGGGATTTTTACGATAATATGGAACGATCTGGCATCGTCCTCTTTGAGGAGTGCTTCTGTCGATTTGGAGTCTACTGAGAAGAAAAGCAACGAGGTGTTACTTTTTGGAAGTCACCTGGGTAATGAATTCACACAACCCAGTACAAGTTGTCTCCACAACCTCGTATGGTATAAATATAATTCGAAGCACACATTGAATAGCGGTCATTTTCAAGGGGCCCGGCAGCCACAACTCATCTGCTCAGAAGTCCGAGCAAGCGGGTGCGAAACAAGCATCCCCCCCCCTCCCGCCCCCAATATATTTATAGCAGTGCACGAGTTAAATAAATAAACACGCACGCCTCATGTACACACACACACACATCTCATTCGGCACTATTAAAATCCCTGAGCATGTTTGCTTCTTTCAAGCGCCTACGCGGTACTATACAGATCACTATATACAGGGTAGGCCATTTACATAGCAAGGCATGAATTATGTTTGTCGAGACCATGCCATTGTATGGCAGCGTTTTATAAAGCGCCAAACACAACGACACGTCTTTGCGCATTTACCAAGTCACTTCCCTTCGGATAGAAAATATTGCGTTACACGCTGCACACGTCTGATGATTAACTTGCATTGGCACTTTTTTTTTAATGTCAGAGAGGGAAACGCATCACTCTCAATAAGTACTTTGCATCGTGTCGAGTAAGAGAAGGATCCCCCGTGTATCCTTAACAGACTACTGGGGCAAGTGCTGTTAGCGAGCACCTATTAACGCTGGCACGGTACACGATGGGGTGGGTGACCAGCACCATGCCCGGCCACCTTTGTCTCTCCAGTTATGATTTTTACACACCGTACTCATTTGGGGCTGAGTCGACCTAGGGGAGGCCCAGTACCGGTTAAAATAATCGTCAATGATGTTGAAAGTGAGTCGGAATCGAACTTGGTTCGCCAGGTTAGTAGTGCAGCACGCTAACCGCTGCACTATCGCTCCTCGCAGGTTTGGTACATATGCACCCACAGTCACAAAAACTCGATCTTAATGTCAACCAAAGCACTCAGTCCATGCGAGACACAAGTGCCCACACACCCACAAAAACAATACACTCGCTCTTAATCTGAAACAGCAACCACTTACGTCCCCTAAAACATACAACAACAAATACAGTGATTTTAATTATAATATTCCATACTTTATGTGGGCAGTGTCCTGATCATCAGGCTCGTGCGGTGTACAACGACTCCAATGTGCATTGAACGGAGGGGATTGGTGAATGGAGTTTGCTATGTGAGGTTTGTGTACCACTCCGCAAGGATCCTATAGGACAAGCTCGCACAATGCGGTGTGTCCTTACATTCAGCCATCAGCTACCAAACTTAGCCAGCATTGCTTCCAAAAGCAGAACTTTATTATTAATATTCGTACCCCACCACCACTGCCATCGCAGCAGACATTGCACTGCGCACACCGGTACACCCTATACCACGGTGTTTTTAGACTTTCTCAGTATTGCCTTGGGGGGCGGTTGACCCTCAGAGTCTATCTGGGCATGCGCAATCACGGTCGTGTCCCTGGCGTGGTAGGAAATGCTCCTACTGTCCCTTACGAAGCCAGAGGGGGGCAGAGCTTGCAGAGCACCCGCGTTCAATTGCACGGAGCACGCGAGCTGATGCTGCTGTTGCTGATGGTGGTGGTGGAGTTGGTGGTGGTGTCTCAATTGCATGGCTTCCACCTGCAGCGCGCTCTGGTTGCAGACGATTTGCCCCAACGGATGACCCCGTGCTTGCACTGATGCCAAAGGGTCCTCATTACCTTCATCCTCCTCTTCTTCCTCGACCAGGTCGCTGAACTCGACGAGGTCATTGAAGCGTACACGATCCTTGAGTGCGTGTTGTTCCACTTGCCGGTGCTGATAACGATGCTGCTGCTGAAGATGCTGTTGAGGATGATGGTAATAATGATTTGACTGATCATGTTGATATGAGGCCGAGTCCCGGACGAGCTCTGTCCGCTGCCGCACTGCCGTGTAGCTCAGCTCGAACTGCCGCCGTTGGCAGCAAAAGTTATCTCGCACTTCCCGCTTCCTCTCCCTGCCGCCGCCTTCTCTTGCCACAGTCCCCTGCTCCTCCTCCTCCTCCTCCTGCTCTGTCGGCTCCAAGGAGCTGCCCCGCTGGCCCGAATCCTCGCAAAAGGGCAGCTGGGGCAGCGACACCGGTGTGGTCCTGGGAGGGGGTGGAGGTGGCCGTGGCTTCCGGAGAACCGTGAGCACGGAGGCGGTGGCCGAGGTGCGGCTGGCGAAGGCGCTGACCGTGGTGCTGAAGCGCGCGGCGTTGACCGTGGTGCTGAAGCGCGCGGCGCTGACCGTGGTGCTGAAACGAGCAACGGCAGCAGCGCCACCCCCGCTGGAGCCAGTGTTGCCGCTCGAGGAGCTGTTGAGGGTGCTGCACTTGGAGTCGTCCGTCTCCTCGTCCAGGTTAAGGCTGGCGGTGAGCGTGTCGATTTGGGAGACGACCTAGGCACGGCGGGAGAGAAGCCGGCGGTGGCATGGGGGTTGTTCTACATCGCACGTGTGTGAATGAATATATGTTGAACTTCTTTCGCACCGTATGTAGCCAACTGTGCTAATCAGAGGTGTGGGGGAAGGACAACAAAACTAAATACAGGTGGTTCAGTCCACGCGCACAGTACGTCATATACGAAACGCTACGTATGAGTAGTGCACACTACATTCTGTTTCTAATTGTGTGCATGTGAGGAGCGATGGCGTAACGGTTAGTGCGCCCAGCTACGAATCCGTGACAATTATCTGAACTAGTCTTGGGCCGCCCCTAGGTCGACTCGGCCTCAAATGAGTGCCTGGTGAGATATGTAAACATCATTACTCGGGAGACAAATGCGGCCGAGCGTGGTGCTGGCCATCCACCCCCTCGTGTGCTGTGCCGACCTTATGAGTGCTCGATAACACAACTTGCCCCAACAGTCTATTAAAGCTGAACATGAAGGATATGTGCCTGTGCCTGCGTTTAGGCTTGATTGGTCGTGGCACCGGTGCATTGAATCGCGTCTATGGCTAACAAGTTTACTCATGATATACATTAGGCCTCCGTGATGTCAATTGAGTCTTAGAGGAGAGTACCTAATGCGGTCTGTAAACATCAGCACTGGGGAGACAAAGTGGGCCGGTCACGGTACTCGATAAACCACTCGATATTGTGTGCTATGTCGACCTCAGTGAGTGCCCGATAACAACACTTGCTCATGGAGTTAAACACTTTCCCCTACGGTCAGTGTAAGGGCAAGTGTTCGCGCATGATTGAATAAACATATGGGTCGTTTTGTTTGTGTTGAGGGCAGTCAGAAAGTCTCAAGGTAAATTATCTCCTGCTGAAACGGAGAGTGGTGGAAGTGCTACGTTCCCATGGCAGGGAACGGTCTGTCCAAGGGATACGCATGCGTTATTACTCACGCGGCCATCTGACATGAAAGTCAACTATGAATCATAATATCGGTCGCGAAAGTCAAACGTATTACATTAACAACTGCTTTTTTCCCAAATCATGGTTCTTGTTGTGTCGACTCCATTTGGCATGCAAGGCTCAGCCGCGGTCAGAACTTGCAACCTTCTGATAACCGGTGGGAGTCCTCTGACCATACAGTGCCACCTAGTCTATATAAATGCAGTACAGTATGTGCAACTCAATGTATAGCACTGCTGAAACAAATTTGCCTTCAAATCCCGACTCTACATTAATGGTCAGCATAGCTTACAGTGCTTTACACGTATTACACATGTCCACAACTTATGATTGATTGTATATCATCGAGCGCTGTGAATTAGTACACATATACACACTTATACGTATTACATATCACTCACGTAACAATACGCATTTAAGGAATTGACCAAGCATCTCAGAGGTGGACCATCCTCTTAAGACTCATAGATTGTCTGGCTAATCAAATAAGTTAAGGCAATTTACGCAATCATCGGATTGCGAGTCAAGTGCTATTAACTGCGGCGGAGCCGAGACGATAGACGCCGAGAAGATATGCACACGATCGTGTTTCATTCTACATTAGCAGTCATATGATATTTATCCTGTATGAAATCACGTGGAAAATTGCCAGGTGCTGTCAGATATCGGAAGTTAAGCAGGGGTTGAGCCTGGATAGTGATTGGATGGGCGCGACCACCATGTGTAAGAGACACGTGCAGCAGGCGTTGTAGTGGAGTAGAGAGCAGTGCAGCAACATTCACTGCCGTTCTGTACTCTCCCTGCATTCAACAACCCACAGTTACCAGCGTGGTGAAGTATGTTCAGACATAGCTCCAGAGCGGTGGGTTGATGAGACTGACGATGCGGTGCAACGCCGGCCGATGTAACGAGTATCTACGTGAACACAGCGGCGAGTACACGCAAACGGTTACACACGTGCGTACAATATGCAGAAAGAAGACGGACAGACATTCTAATGAAGGGGTGAGAGGTCACCGAACGGTAATTCTATTTTCAAGAGAGACTTGGAATTATAAATAAACTCATAAAAACGAACATATCCTTGCACACACGTGCACGTGCACACATTCGCACGTACGCAAGACCCAATGTACACACACGCACACATGGCAACACCGTAACTGTCATAGAGAATGGAGCATTCACGAATGGGCATTGGGAGTGTGCATAAAAACAATAAATATCGATTCTTAACCTCGCAATACATCGTGATAAAACAATCGATGTTCATGGATTCGTATGTGTTGTGAGTAATGGGTTCACGTGACCCCATCCAGCCACCAGAGGCCGCTGAATCCACCGCAATATTTAAATAAACAATCGCTTATGAATCGCCACTGAGTGAACGAGTCGTGAAGAGGTGGTGGTGGGAGCGGGGGCCAGGGTTTGGATCATTCTACCTCTAAATATATACTGGATAACGCGGTGGCGAGATGTGCACTACCTCGCCTGGTATACAGGAGGTTCTTGCTTCGATCCCAACCCTCAAATCTGTTTATTTCGAGTTTGCATGTTCTCCCCGTGGTCGCGTGGATTTATTTTCCGGGTCCTCCAGTGTTTCCCTCCACATTGAGAAAGATGCGTTGGGAGGAACTGGCTGCGATAAGATTCCACGTCATAAGCCACTTCATTTAGCTATCATTTGTGGACAGGTCGCTTCTGAAAAAAAAACATATTTACAGCTCAGTTGACCTTACCTGGTAAAAACAAACAAATGTTGGTTAAGATTTAGATAATATAGGCTAGCTTGGAAGAATAGACCGAATACCTTGTAGACGGTTTTCTCCAGAGCTCTCTCTGGCGAAGGTCCTTCCGTCGGCAGTGGTGGGAGCAAGCAATTGAAGGGCTGAACCTTTGTATTTAAATAGTCTCTTCTACACACAGTGACTCCTATACGGAGACGTGGGGGGGGGGGTCATTTTGTAAGACGTTCACTTGGCCAAAGATGCGTACCTCTTTCAGCTCCTTCGCCACATCCTTCAGCTCTCCAAGCACAATCTCCAGGCCCCCGATCACCTCGCGCACCTGATCCTTCACGAGCGAGCGCTTCACTTGCACGGCGCTATGCTGCTGCCCGGAGAGCTGAAGATATAATGACGATCATCGTAGCAGCGCGCACAGGCAGCAGCAGCACCAGCATCCACACACAGACAGCACCACCAGCATCCACACACAGAGAGCACCACCAGCATCTACACACAAACAGCAGCACTAGCATCCACACACACAGACAGCACCACCAGCATCTACACACAGAGAGCACCACCAGCATCCACACACAGACAGCAGCACCAGCATCTACACACAGAGAGCAGCACCAGCATCCACACACAGACAGCACCACCAGCATCTACACACAGAGAGCACCACCAGCATCTACACACACAGACAGCACCACCAACATCCACATACAGAAAGCAGCACCAGCATCTACACACAGACAGCACCACCAGCATCCACACACAGACAGCACCACCAGCATCTACACACAGACAGCACCACCAGCATCTACACACATAGACAGCACCACCAGCATCTACACACACAGACAGCACCACCAGCATCTACACACAGACAGCACCACCAGCATCTACACACACAGACAGCACCACCAGCATCCACACACAGACACCACCACCAGCATCTACACACAGACAGCACCACCAGCATCCACACACAGACAGCACCACCAGCATTCACACACTGACAGCACCACCAGCATCCACACACAGACAGCACCACCAGCATCTACACACAGAGAGAGCACCACCAGCATCTACACACACAGACAGCACCACCAGCATCCACACACAGACAGCACCACCAGCATCTACACACAGACAGCACCACCAGCATCTACACACACAGAGAGCACCACCAGCATCCACACACAGACAGCACCACCAGCATCCACACACAGACAGCACCACCAGCATCTACACACAGAGAGAGCACCACCAGCATCTACACACACAGACAGCACCACCAGCATCCACACCCAGACAGCACCATCAGCATCTACACACAGACAGCACCACCAGCATCTACACACACAGACAGCACCACCAGCATCCACACACAGACAGAACCACCAGCATCCACACACAGACAGAACCACCAGCATCCACACACACAGACAGCACCACCAGCATCTACACACAGACAGCACCACCAGCATCTACACACAGACAGCACCACCAGCATCCACACCCAGACAGCACCATCAGCATCTACACACAGACAGCACCACCAGCATCTACACACACAGACAGCACCACCAGCATCCACACACAGACAGAACCACCAGCATCCACACACAGACAGAACCACCAGCATCCACACACACAGACAGCACCACCAGCATCTACACACAGACAGCACCACCAGCATCTACACACAGACAGCACCACCAGCATCCACACACAGACATATCCACCAGCATCTACACACAGACAGCAGCACCAGTATCCACACACAGACAGCACCACCAGCATCTACACACACAGACAGCACCACCAGCATCCACACACACAGACAGCACCACCAGCATCTACACACAGACACCACCAACAGCATCCACACACACAGACAGCACCACCAGCATCTACACACAGACAGCACCACCAGCATCTTCACACAGACAGCACCACCAGCATCCACACACAGACAGCACCACCAGCATCCACACACAGACATCACCACCAGCATCTACACACAGACAGCACCACCAGCATCTACACACAGAGAGCACCACCAGCATCCACACACAGACAGCAGCACCAGCATCCACACACACAGACAGCACCACCAGCATCTACACACAGAGAGCACCACCAGCATCCACACACAGACAGCACCACCAGCATCTACACACAGAGAGCAGCACCAGCATCCACACACAGACAGCACCACCAGCATCTACACACAGAGAGCACCACCAGCATCTACACACACAGACAGCACCACCAACATCCACATACAGAAAGCAGCACCAGCATCTACACACAGACAGCACCACCAGCATCCACACACAGACAGCACCACCAGCATCTACACACAGACAGCACCACCAGCATCTACACACATAGACAGCACCACCAGCATCTACACACACAGACAGCACCACCAGCATCTACACACAGACAGCACCACCAGCATCTACACACACAGACAGCACCACCAGCATCCACACACAGACAGCACCACCAGCATCTACACACAGACAGCACCACCAGCATCCACACACAGACAGCACCACCAGCATTCACACACTGACAGCACCACCAGCATCCACACACAGACAGCACCACCAGCATCTACACACAGAGAGCACCACCAGCATCTACACACACAGACAGCACCACCAACATCCACATACAGAAAGCAGCACCAGCATCTACACACAGACAGCACCACCAGCATCCACACACAGACAGCACCACCAGCATCTACACACAGACAGCACCACCAGCATCTACACACATAGACAGCACCACCAGCATCTACACACACAGACAGCACCACCAGCATCTACACACAGACAGCACCACCAGCATCTACACACACAGACAGCACCACCAGCATCCACACACAGACAGCACCACCAGCATCTACACACAGACAGCACCACCAGCATCCACACACAGACAGCACCACCAGCATTCACACACTGACAGCACCACCAGCATCCACACACAGACAGCACCACCAGCATCTACACACAGAGAGAGCACCACCAGCATCTACACACACAGACAGCATCACCAGCATCCACACACAGACAGCACCACCAGCATCTACACACAGACAGCACCACCAGCATCTACACACACAGAGAGCACCACCAGCATCCACACACAGACAGCACCACCAGCATCCACACACAGACAGCACCACCAGCATCTACACACAGAGAGAGCACCACCAGCATCTACACACACAGACAGCACCACCAGCATCCACACCCAGACAGCACCATCAGCATCTACACACAGACAGCACCACCAGCATCTACACACACAGACAGCACCACCAGCATCCACACACAGACAGAACCACCAGCATCCACACACAGACAGAACCACCAGCATCCACACACACAGACAGCACCACCAGCATCTACACACAGACAGCACCACCAGCATCTACACACAGACAGCACCACCAGCATCCACACACAGACATATCCACCAGCATCTACACACAGACAGCAGCACCAGTATCCACACACAGACAGCACCACCAGCATCTACACACACAGACAGCACCACCAGCATCCACACACACAGACAGCACCACCAGCATCTACACACAGACAGCACCAACAGCATCCACACACACAGACAGCACCACCAGCATCTACACACAGACAGCACCACCAGCATCTTCACACAGACAGCACCACCAGCATCCACACACAGACAGCACCACCAGCATCCACACACAGACATCACCACCAGCATCTACACACAGACAGCACCACCAGCATCTACACACAGAGAGCACCACCAGCATCCAAACACAGACAGCAGCACCAGCATCCACACACACAGACAGCACCACCAGCATCTACACACAGAGAGCACCACCAGCATCCACACACAGACAGCACCACCAGCATCTACACACAGAGAGCAGCACCAGCATCCACACACAGACAGCACCACCAGCATCTACACACAGAGAGCACCACCAGCATCTACACACACAGACAGCACCACCAACATCCACATACAGAAAGCAGCACCAGCATCTACACACAGACAGCACCACCAGCATCCACACACAGACAGCACCACCAGCATCTACACACAGACAGCACCACCAGCATCTACACACATAGACAGCACCACCAGCATCTACACACACAGACAGCACCACCAGCATCTACACACAGACAGCACCACCAGCATCTACACACACAGACAGCACCACCAGCATCCACACACAGACAGCACCACCAGCATCTACACACAGACAGCACCACCAGCATCCACACACAGACAGCACCACCAGCATTCACACACTGACAGCACCACCAGCATCCACACACAGACAGCACCACCAGCATCTACACACAGAGAGAGCACCACCAGCATCTACACACACAGACAGCACCACCAGCATCCACACACAGACAGCACCACCAGCATCTACACACAGACAGCACCACCAGCATCTACACACACAGAGAGCACCACCAGCATCCACACACAGACAGCACCACCAGCATCCACACACAGACAGCACCACCAGCATCTACACACAGAGAGAGCACCACCAGCATCTACACACACAGACAGCACCACCAGCATCCACACCCAGACAACACCATCAGCATCTACACACAGACAGCACCACCAGCATCTACACACACAGACAGCACCACCAGCATCCACACACAGACAGAACCACCAGCATCCACACACAGACAGAACCACCAGCATCCACACACACAGACAGCACCACCAGCATCTACACACAGACAGCACCACCAGCATCTACACACAGACAGCACCACCAGCATCCACACACAGACATAACCACCAGCATCTACACACAGACAGCAGCACCAGTATCCACACACAGACAGCACCACCAGCATCTACACACACAGACAGCACCACCAGCATCCACACACACAGACAGCACCACCAGCATCTACACACAGACAGCACCAACAGCATCCACACACACAGACAGCACCACCAGCATCTACACACAGACAGCACCACCAGCATCTTCACACAGACAGCACCACCAGAATCCACACACAGACAGCACCACCAGCATCTACACACAGACAACACCACTGGCATCTACACACACAGACAGCACCACCAGCATCCACACACAGACAGCACCACCAGCATCTACACACACAGACCGCACCACCAGCATCTACACACACAGACAGCACCACCAGCATCTACACACAGACAGCACCACCAACATCCACACACAGACAGCACCACCAGCATCTACACACAGACACCACCACCGGCATCCACACACACAGACAGCACCACCAGCATCTAAACACAGACAGCACCACCAGCATCTACACACAGACAGCACCACCA